GTGCCAAAACTCACAGATGTGTGAAATGCTCTCTTAACCATCCCAGCAACGTTTGCCCAAAAGATAAAGAGCAACCAGCAAAATGTGCCAACTGCAACGAAGATCATGCTGCTAGTTACAAAGGGTGTAAAGTCTATCAGGATATTATATCAAAAAAAATAGTAAGCGGACGCAACCACCAGAGAAACACCAAAGATGACAAAAATAAAAATGACCATGGTACATATCAATCATTTGCTCCGTCTAATAATTCGACCCAACAACCCAAAGATTACCAATCATACGCTCAAGATGCTGCAGGAAATAGTACCTCGAACAAGTCTCTAGAAGAATAGAACAGCCTTTAGAAAAACAATCTCAACTTACCAATAATTTACTTAACATGATAATGTTACTTGTTAATAAGCTATGCAAGTAAATCTAAACTTAGGAATATGGAATGCCAATGAGCTTTACAACCATATAAATGAAATAGCTTTATTTTTAAAAACGAATGCCATTGACGTCCTGCTTATTTCAGAAACACACTTCACTAGCAAATCTTTTTTTAAAGTTATTGGATACGACACAGTAAGAGCTGACCATCCATCAGATAGAGCTCATGGAGTTGCTGCAATTCTTGTCAAGCAGGGCCTTAAATTTCAAATCATGGACAGTACTAGGGAAAACGCTATGCAAGCTGCCACAATTCAGATAAAATGTATGCACGCAGATGTATCAATAACAGCGATTTATCTCCCACCAAGATTCACAATAAAAGAACTCGATTTCAAAAACTTTTTCCAAGGACTGGGAGCAAAGTTTATCGTGGGAGGCGACTTCAATGCCAAACATCCATGGTGGGGATCCAGATTAACTAACCCGAAGGGATCGGAGTTATACAAATGCATACGAAACAATAACATAACGACTTTGTCAACTGGTGTGCCCACATACTGGCCAACTGAGTCGAAAAATTCCAGATTTGATTGATTTCGTAGTATTCTCTGGAATCCCACAATCACACATGCGAGTAATGGAGAGCTTTGACCTTAACTCAGATCATTCTCCAATAATAGCAACTTACAGCACAATAGCCCATATGTTGGAAAAGCCCTATAAAGTAATAACAGCCTCTACAGACATTAACGCATTTAAAAGCCATTTAGATTCAGCTATAAGCCTGGACATTCCGTTAAAAACAGGAGAGGAGATAGACTATGCTGTGGAGCTTTTCACAAATACAATTCATAATGCGAGCTACAGAAACACGAATCATGCTCTTAATCATCAACAACCAAACCAATTGAACCTTTCAACCGATCTTCGACAAAAAATACAAAATAAAAGGAATCTGCGAAAACGCTGGCAAGAAACTCACTACCCTGCNACTAGCAAATCTTTTTTTAAAGTTACTGGATACGACACAGTAAGAGCTGACCATCCATCAGATAGAGCTCATGGAGGTGCTGCAATTCTTGTCAAGCAGGGCCTTAAATTTCAAATCATGGACAGTACTAGGGAAAACGCTATGCAAGCTGCCACAATTCAGATAAAATGTATGCACGCAGATGTATCAATAACAGCGATTTATCTCCCACCAAGATTCACAATAAAAGAACTCGATTTCAAAAACTTTTTCCAAGGACTGGGAGCAAAGTTTATCGTGGGAGGCGACTTCAATGCCAAACATCCATGGTGGGGATCCAGATTAACTAACCCGAAGGGATCGGAGTTATACAAATGCATACGAAACAATAACATAACGACTTTGTAAACTGGTGTGCCCACATACTGGCCAACTGATAGTCGAAAAATTCCAGATTTGATTGATTTCATAGTATTCTCTGGAATCCCACAATCACACATGCGAGTAATGGAGAGCTTTGACCTTAACTCAGATCATTCTCCAATAATAGCAACTTACAGCACAATAGCCCATATGTTGGAAAAGCCCTATAAAGTAATAACAGCCTCTACAGACATTAACGCATTTAAAAGCCATTTAGATTCAGCTATAAGCCTGGACATTCCGTTAAAAACAGGAGAGGAGATAGACTATGCAGTGGAGCTTTTCACAAATACAATTCATAATGCGAGCTACAGAAACACGAATCATGCTCTTAATCATCAACAACCAAACCAATTGAACCTTTCAACCGATCTTCGACAAAAAATACAAAATAAAAGGAATCTGCGAAAACGCTGGCAAGAAACTCACTACCCTGCTGACAAAAGATTATACAACAAGGCTGCATCTGAGCTTAGACAACTGCTGTCGAACTTACGCAATGAATCTCTAGCTGCGTATCTGAGAAACTTAGACCCTAATTCAAGCAACAATGAATACAACCTATGGAGGGCGACTAAATACCTAAAGAAACCAGCTAAAAGAAACATAAATATTCGCAAAAACAACGGAACTTGGTGTAGGTCTAATAATGAACAAGCGGAAGCATTTGCACAACATCTGCACTCTGTGTTTCAGCCAAACGATATAAATAATTATACAACAGAGACTGAAGTAGAAAAATTCCTTGAGTCACCCTGCCAAATGAGCTTGCCTATTAAAAGCATCAAATATGAAGAAGTTGTGACAGAAATCAAATGCTTGAACAATAGAAAAGCACTAGGCCCTTATAAAATATATGGTATCACCCTAAAGAGTTTACCACCAAAATGCATTGGGTTTCTCACTCTTATATTTAACGCGATTCTCAGACTAGACCACTTTCCAAGTCAATGGAAATGTGCAGAGATCGTTATGATCCTAAAACCAAACAAAATAGAAACGGAATTGACATCATACCGTCCCATTAGTCTGTTGACAATTTTCTCGAAAGTGTTTGAAAAAATACTATTGAAGAGAATGTTACCAATTTTAGACGAACTTTCCATCATTCCTGAATACCAATTCGGATTCAGGAGGGGTCATGGGACCCCTGAGCAATGTCACAGGGTTATTAATGATATAGTTTCGGCATTTGAAAACAAAAAATACTGCACTGCTGCATTTCTTGATGTTCAACAAGCGTTCGATCGAGTCTGGCACAAAGGTTTGTTGTACAAGATAAAGAAATGGCTACCTGCTCTGTAATATTTATTAATCAAATCATATCTGGCTAAAAGATGCTTTTACGTGCAGCAGAAAACCGATACTTCATCACTACTTCTCATCACCGCAGGCGTCCCACAAGGAAGCGTATTGGGACCAATTCTTTACACCCTATATACGGCCGACATTTCAGTTACAAACAACTGCACTGTTGCAACATATGCTGATGATACAGCTGTTTTTGCCACAAGCACATCTATAAATGAAGCTTCCGAACACCTGCAGAGTGAGCTAAGCCTAATTGAAGACTGGTTCCATCGATGGAAAATTAGAATCATGAAGGACTTTAAGCAGGTTTATTGCATTTCATTTTGAGCAGGTAACTGCCCAAATGTAACACTTAACGGCTCACCAATTCCACAAAGTACCTGTGTGAAGTATCTTGGCTTGCATCTCGACCGCAGATTAACATGGAAAAACCACATTTAAGGAAAATGTCAACAACTCTAAAACTAAAACACTAAAAATGTCCTGGTCGAAAATCAGAAACCACTTTGGAAAACAAAATTCACCTCTAAAAATCCATACTGAAGCCTGTTTGGACCTACGCTATACAGCTCTATGGGACTGCTACCAACTCAAATATTGAGATACTTCAGCGTTACAAATCAAAAACTTTGCGACACATTGTCAATGCTCCTTTTACGTATCTAATGCAAATATCCAAAAAGATCGTAATATTCCAACCATTAAAGAAGAAATAAAGAAAACTAGTAAGAAATACATGGACAGACTCCACAACCACGAAAATAATTTAGCCTTAAGTCTATTAGACAATAGCCTAACAGTTTCTTCTGACTTTTCTATGGTGTAAGAGCTATAGGGACTATCTATTTAAATTGTTTGATTTTTCTACAATATATATTATCGTCCCGAGTAACCTTTTGACGATAAAGACAATTAACTTATAATTAATATGTTAAATGTTATTGTTTAAAAACAGATTGTAAATATAAAGAGAGAGAAAAAAAAAAAAAAAAAAAAAAAAGAGTTGTTTGCCGAACGAACACCAAACAAAAAATATTCCGTGCATATGTATACCGTCGACTCAATTTCGACGTCAAAATATACCGAAAAGTATAAAATATACCGTAAACGGTCACCCTGCTGGAATGAAGACCATTGAAAAAATCCTCCCTCAAAATACCGCTCTTGAACTGTTTTGAAGATACGTTTGTTTAATATATACCTACCAAAAATACTAAATCTATTTTTATAGGGCCTGTATCTTGCACTGTTGAAAATTCCTACCAGGAATATGTTAGTAATTTCTTGTGTATGTTGAGCATAATGCAAACAGTGTTGTGCCAAACAGCCAATGTGTGCAATATGTATCGCTCTGGGCCCAGTATGACCAAAGAGGACACAGTTCATGCTCTCTGGGTATACTCCTTTGCGTCATTTTATAAAACGAAACCCGTTAATAATTCAAATTTTGTATGAAATCAGGCGTGTTAAATTTCAGAGTGGATATGGAGGTTGGAGAACAGCAATGCATGGAGAAAGCGCCGCTTTATTGGATAGGTCCGTTCCGGCGGGACAGATATGTAATAATTATGTGTTTTATCCCCTTATAAATTAATAAAATGAGTACCGACTATATGATTGAAATATTGTTATATCTATATAATCCATATATTTGTTCGACTGTATTAATAAGTTTTAAATCGTCTTCATTTAATTATTTTGTTTAGCCCATTTATTCGTTCGGCTGTTTTACTAACTTAGAAATCGCTTGTTTCCTTCCTTGTTTCATGTTTCGGTCGACTAAAGACTATATATAAAGATATATATATGACTGGCCTTTATCCGGCGGGCTCAACACATTTAGGAACACCCTAAATATTTTTTAAAAAGTTTATCGATTCGAATTCTTTAAATTAATAATTTGGCCACACTGTAATAGACAAAAACACAATAACAAGATGAATACTACAGTTTTAGAATGGAAAAAAGTGAACTTCTTCAATATTGTTGGGCTGCCGTTTATAAAATTACCGAATGTTTCGGAAATAACATGCCACTGTTTCAACCTGACCAAATCTGACGCTGGGGGAAACACGCTAGTGTTTTGTGACCGGAATGGACAAATATATGTTTATTTTCCCAACTGGGAGTGCATTTCATTTAAAAGTCAACATAGTGTGCACCACATCAGACATTGCGCGCTCACGTCTAATAATTTACTAGCAACTGCCACACAAGACGAAACATTTGTAGTACATATATATATATATGATCTAAAAAAGTTGACCAAAAAACAAGGAGCTCCAATAATTGCTTCCGGTACTTATAATACAACAAGTACAGGTACAACATGCATCAATGCAGAAGTCATTGACGATAAAATACTGTTTTTAGGCTTGGGCTTTGAGAACGGCGACATTTTGTTGCATTGTGGAAAGATAAACAGATTTATTTCATCGAATACTCGCCGCCACTCAATATCTGGACACGCAATTAATGGAATACACTTTGACATCAGACCTCAAAGCTCTGATAAACATACTCCAAACATGTTTGTCACATGTTTTGATGGAGTGTACTGCTTTATTTTAAAAGAAAAAGGCGCAGTAGACCCAAAATTTATACTTGATAATAATAAACGTGCTTACAATCATTGTTGTACGATGCGCAAAGCGAGTAATGCAAAGTTTGATGATGCTATGTTAGTAGTAGGACGAGAAGATGCTATATACTGCTATACTAGTGATGGGAGAGGCCCTTGCTATGCTATTGAAGGGACAAAAAAATGTTTAGATTGGGTAGGCCATTATCTTATTGTTGTAGTACAAAGTCCAAAAAGTGTCATTTCGGATAAAAGCAAGTTGACCCTAATTGTTGTGGATACCGAAAATAAAATCATTGTTTTTTATAAGCAAATTCAAGATTTGTTGTATACTATCAGCGAAAATACCTTATGTTACATTATCACAAATACTGAATCTAGAAATAGCACGAACATATTTAAGTTACAGCAGTGCAATACTAATACAAAAATTCGACTTTTAATTGAACAAAATATGTACAATATTGCTTTGCAATTGTTGTCTAGAGAAGGACTTGCTTCGTCACACGAAACGGCTTGCGTGCGATTTCAATACGGAAATCATATGGTACTGAAAGGCGATATAAGTAGAGCAGTACTAGAATACATTAAAACAATTGGCTTTATTAAACCCTATGATGTGATTTCCAAACTACTCCATTCCAAGTACACTGATTATCTAAAAGAATATTTGTATGCAGTTTTAAAAAGTAACCATGCTAAAGATAAACACAAACAGCTCTTAAAATTACTTGAGCAAAAAAATGGGAAACCTGAGAACATTCATCAACCTGTCAGTAATGTTTCCTTCAACAACACGGATAATAAGTTTTTAAATATACAAAGCAGTAATTTAAATTCAAAAAATTATGGAGCTCAAGTCAAAAGTTTTGAAGACGATGAAGAATTGAATTTCTATATAGAATATGGATCAGAATCATTAATTTTAAACCCAGAACCCTATTTACAGCATTTTAAATCACTAATAATTGGAAACACGACAAAAAATATCCTTCGCTTTTTCCCCATTTTGTCGGAACATAACGAGTTTTGTGCTAACTTATTAGCTGAAATAATTGCGAGTTACCCCACATGTGACCACGAACTATATGATTATTTACTTATTCTTTATCTTGGACTTTGGCATGAAAACAAAATAACCACAGGCTTTGTTTTAGATTTTTTGAAAACTGATCGCCTACGCCTAGAAAAAGTTTTAACTATATGCAGACTTTATGCATTTTTAAATGGGATTAAACAAGTTTATACAAATTTGAATGATGCAGATACTGTTACCAATGTAGGATCGAACAAATGTGTACACAGTCTCTTGAAGGGATATCCCGATCTTACGCATATCTTTGAGCTGAGGACAAGCTCATTGTTAATAATGTTAAAGAGTGGATTTCAAAATCATTCAATACATGCCTCACAGTTTAAACCTTTTGTTAATGAAAACATAGTTAAAAATATATTGGATTCAAGAAACGAATTGCAAATGATTGAAAATTTGAATAAAAAAATAAAAAAGTCAGGTTCTATGCTTTCACTTTATGCAAATAATCCAATAGAATTTCGCAATAGTTCATGTGATATTTGTCGTCAAGCGCTTAATACACAATCAGTATATTTTCTTTGTCAACATTCCTTTCACAAAGAATGCCTAATCTATAATATGTCCAGACGAGGTGACGAAGCGATATGTGTTGCCTGCAGTGGAGAACCTAATTACCCTGCCGACAAAGCAATTCATTCACAGTCAACAGACTCTATTACAGTAATTTCTAAGGTAATTTCTCTGGGAGTTGTAGAAATAGCAACCAACAATGGGCTTTCCAAAAATGTTATTCACACGAAAGGTCATGACTCTAATGTATATCAAGGAAAACTGAATGCTATTAAAAGAACAAGTTCGGGAAATCCATTTGATTAAAATTTTAAATTTTCTGAAGGAACCACTCAAAAGTATAAATATTTACGTATAAGAATATTTTAAGCATTCAATGTGCCCTTAGAAGAATAAATAAACTTAATTTTTCAATATCCATGTTGAAATATTCTTTATGCGCTGTAACTTGTCTTGGTGCAGCAGAAAAGTAAATCATTGCTTGCACTTCCAACTATCACAGATTTTCCTCTTTTCTCACACATCAGCAGCCTATACAGCCCCTTGCTCGTTTCATCATTTCGACTTTCCTATTTTCGGTTTTGGTACCTCTTCCTCATTTGGTTACGCCTATAATAGTATCGATTTAATACTTACTTCTTGCACATAGTCTTAATCGCGCGCCTTCATCGAACCCTCTTGAATCGATCCTTTCAAACTGACAAATTTCGCTGCGATTTAAAGTAGGCCTGTCGAAACCTTTTATTATTGGTCGGCTGCTTTATTATACCATTTATAGACCCTGTCCTCGAAGAGTATATTGTGTTTGTAGTCGGAGCAATTTGCGTAACGCACAGAAGGAAACGTTTCCGACCCTATAAAGTATATACATATGTATATTCTGGGTCAGCATCAATAGCCTATCGACTCGACTATCTCTATCTGTCCGGCTGACTGTCTGTTCAACCTTCTTGATGAGCGCCTAAACATCAGAGACTAACGAGCTTGGGAAACCAAGTGTTTCATTCAGACTGCTGTGATATCACACTATTACAGGTGTATTACACACTCGTGTGAATGTGCTGGTGTAAGAACTGATGTACAAATATGACAGATGTAGACAAAATTTAAAATGTAACGAGAAGGGACGTGTGAGACGCTTCTTACGCGTCACAACTTTTATACCCGGCACTCAGTACTACATCTGCACCTTAGCGGTGTATTGTCAAATTATAAATTTTTTCTTCATCTGTCGTCTACATCTACAACACTTCTCACACTAACACGCTCCGTTAGCTCGTTGACGTTCCCTAGACCCACACACTGCAGACTCGAGGCAGAGGCACCGTCCGCACACAAAAAAAAAAAATATATAAGCTGCGGGACGGGGTGAGTTAAAAGTCGGCAGAGGCAGAGGGACGGCAGAGGCCGAGTGAAGCAGAAGCAGAGTGTGAATGAGAGAATGTGAAAAAACAACAAAAGCTGTGGGACAGGGTGGGTGTAGCCACTGCAAATTAATTTCTTCATTTTGGCTATAATAATGATCCAATCGGATCCGGATCTGATAGATATGGTGATCTGATAGATTGGCCATTCCGTACCTTTTATCTTTAAAATTGTAGATTTGGGTGGTTTACGCCCTATTTGGGCGTGCCTCATTTTTGAAATACACTTGTAACAGTGTGAGCATACAGAAGTCTGGATTCAAAATTTGGACAGACGACAGACGGACGGATAGACAGACATGGCTCAATCGGCTCGGCTATTGATGCTGATCAATAATATATATCCTATATGGGGTCGGAAACGTTTCCTTCTGTGTGTTACATACATTCACTTTGTGCACAAATACAATATACCCTATTTACTCTTCGAGTACCGGGTATATGTAACACACTAGGGTTACACACATATGTACAAGGCACATGTTTACGTTGTGACGAGTACGATGCGACTCACAACGTTCCTTTTCGTTTTTTGTTTTTCACTGAATTCGTACTTGCAAACTAGTACAATAACAGCACAATTAAGATATTTAAGAAAATTACCAAATCCCATGCAATTCGCAGCAGAGACTTTCAATGTGGAAGGTATGTCTTTATCTTGTGGAAAAAGTTTTGCCAAACACCAATCTTTTTAGTCGCGAGCACATTGCGGTAACTTTTCAGCCTGTTTGTGTACCTTCAAATTTGGAGCCTCGCACATACCACGGGCAGTTTGTTATTTGTGGCATGGCGCGATTTTGTAGCACCTGTATGAGTTTGTAATTCAGCTTTGCCGCTATTCTCCGAATCTGCACTCTGTAAAGCCAGACAGGAGCCACTCAGTGAGGATGTACTCCTCTTTTAGCTCTCAAAGTCATGGTGCTTCTTCTATTGATAAGCTACCTCAATTGCTGCTTCCCTTAGCCTTACTTCCTGGCCGTGGCTTTCAACTGTGGGCCAAACGTAATACGCTTCTCTAGTATGAAGCACAGATATTTCTATGTATCTCCTTCCAGCTGTATAGGTGACGGGTTGTCGATAATTGAGGTTTTAAGGAGACGGAAGCAGTGGTGGTCTCCAGTGGGTTGACCTTTAAGTTCCACCTCTTGCTGCCAGCCGCCAATGCGTTGGGTATTCTTGTATTCCAACTGTAAAGTAGCTACATGTGGTGCTTGCTACGGCAGGGTAGATGGGAAGTGTATATAGAGTATAGCAACGGACCAAGTAAGCTGCTCTGCGAAATTCCGGCTCTTATAAGACAGGGCATCGAAAGTAATGCTTTCGTGGCCCTTTCAATACGATCGTAGGACGCGTTATGATTCTGGCAAGAGTTTTTTAATTGTTCTTAGGAGGCCGATTTGCTAAACTGTATCCAACGCTTGCTGCATATAAATTAAGAAAGCTTTGTAGTATTCTAGGTCATCCAAGGTCTGTAGTATATGCTTTACTAATTTTAGGACTCCGAGACGATTTGACGATTCGATTAGATACGACTCCACCTCTGAGGAATTTCCATGCTTGTGGATCATCAGAATTGTTGAAATTTTCCACTCCTTAGGAAATAACTGCTACCTGAACATAGCGTTAACGAGAAGGGACGTGTGAGACGGCACTCAGTACTACATCTGCACCTCAGCGGTTATTTGTCAAATTTTACATTTTTTCTTCATCTGTCTCCTACATCAACAACACTACTCACGTCAACATGTTCCTTAAGCTCGCCACCCTCCATTAGAGCCACACACTGCACAGTCAGGGCAGAGACGCGGCAGAGGTAGAGACGTGTCAGAGTCAGAGGCCGCATACTGCAGAAGCAGAGTGTGAATGAGAGAATGGGGAAAAAAACAAAAATAAGCTGCGGAAGGGGGTGGGACCACAAAGTGCTTTTCTTAATTCTTACGTTGTAGGTAGTCTTTTCGAAGGCTGAGGTAGCTCAGCCTCTGCAGGGCCACCTTACAAATAAATTTGTAAAGTGCCGGGACCCGAGATTGCGGAAATGGAGACGCCGTGTGTGGAAAGGTGGGCGTATGGGGCGGAAAGGGAACCTGATCGACACCGGTCATCCGGTGGTTAGTGGAGACGCCTTCTGGCAGTGTAGCCGCCCCTGTCATCTCCGACGCGAGCGTCCCTGGTAGTACCGTACCTAGGAAGCACCCGTTTCGGAGACAGGCACGCGCCGTTCGAGAGCCCGCGGTCTGGCGCCGTAATGACCTGCGACCAGCCCAGCGGAGCCACCAATGGTGGGCGGCCACACTTACCGTCTTGCACTTTGGGAGGGGGGAAAGGGTTACATTTACACTGTTACACACGAGCACATGGTTTAGTTTTGTTTCTTTATTATACCCGGTACTCGAAGAGTAAATAGGGTATATTGTATTTGTGTACAATAACGGTTGTATGTAACGCACAGAAGGAAGCGTTTCCGACCCCATAAAGTATATATATTCTTGATCAGCGTCAATAGCCGAGTCCGTCTTGTTTGTCGGCTAGTTCTCAGAGACTATAAGAGCTAGAGCCACCAGACTGCTGTATGCTCGCACTGAAATCAGTGTATTTAAAAAATTAGCCCCGCCCCGTTCCGTCCCCGCAAAAGGGCGAAAACCTGCCAAATCTACAATTTGTAAGATAAAAGAAAACTAAAAACGCCATTCCTTAGGGAATGGCCATATCTATCAGCCTCTGCCCCCCCCCCTGACGATGCATCTTCCGACTTTTAACCCACCCCGTCCCGCAGCTTATATTTGTTTTTTTTTTTGTGTGCGGGCGCGGCCTCTGCCTCTGCCGCGAGTCTGCAGTATGTGGGTCTAGGGAAGGGCGGCGAGCGTGTTGGTGTGAGAAGTGTAGATGTAGATGACAGATGAAGAAAGAATTTAATATTTGACAAAACACTGCTGAGGTGCAGATGCACTATTGTCCCAATGACAAGTTTTGGTGGCTGTTTACGCCAAATTAGCGCAAAGGGCTTATGGGCGGGAGCAATTAGTAGTTTGTATAGGTAAAATGAATTTGTAGCATTAAGCTATTGAATTGTTGCATTTACGACATACTGACAGAAGCTTGTTGCTATAGAACATACATGTGATATGTGAATACGATAGAGAAAGAGGAAGATCATGCATCAAGAAGAAGAGATTAAATTGATTTAAATTCCGACTCGGTCGAACCAGCAGCACTTATTTCGAGATTTTGATTCCGAACTGGTTGCGAGGAGTTGCGGAAACAGTGGCCAAAAGCTAATTTTTAAAAGTTAAAACCAAGACTTGGTTTTTAACGCTCTGTGTTAGAAAAAGAGTGACCATCAAAGTTGTGTATACGAAATTTTCATAGATGGCGACACTTTCGAAAAATCTGCTGTGAAACCTAGCGGTCATTATTGCACAGAATGTGCAGGGAAAAAGTACAAATTTTATTGCTGTTTTAAATATCTCATAAATTGGAAAATACGATTAGCTGATCCAATTTTTTTGATGCATTTTATTTAGTAGGCTTTTTACTACGTGTTCTTTAATGTGAACGATATCTAGTGGTTGGCGATGTCTTCTACATCTAGATGTAGCCCTGAGTGCCGGGTATAGAAGTTGTGACGCGTAAGAAGCGTCTCACACGTCCCTTTTCGTTCTTTTAGTTCTTGTCTTTTTCCTATCTTAGCGTCGAAATAACATTTCCTGCGTCCCTACCTATTCGCACCAAACTAAACCATGGAAAAGGGATGCATCACGCAGCCTCGCTTACCCGATCCTCTCGAGCTAGGTGGGTGTGTGTCCTCGTCCCACGTGTGTCACTGCCCACTGACTTGGGGAGTTTTCCGCAGCGATCGCGACTTATCCGCTTGGTTGCCAAAATCTTACTCCCCGACGCGAGCTCCGCATGGCGATCGCGAGCCCTTAGCTGCGGTCCCTTGTCCGGGTTGCGCTGCCCACGCCCGTGGCTTTCTTGGTGTTGGCCGCTCTC